TAGACGTATTATTGGATGTTCATAACTGAAATTCTTCAGACTTCGTGGCCGTGGTAATTGCAATGCTTAGAAAACGCCGCAAACCATTCAATAACCGACTTTTCGGTTTTTACACGTTGTAAACAAATAAACAATAATTATTATTTAATCTTTAAAGTGTTATTGTACATATTTTGTGTACCTACGTTTTCTACGGTTGTAAATTATCAAATTTTACTGTTTTTACGTAAAAAAAAAAAAAAAAAAAAAGAATCAAACTCGGATCATTACGAGGCGTATGCTATTTTCTTGTAAAGCGTGTTTCAACAAATTGCTTAAATATTTTAGCAAAAAACCACTCCTCTCCCTCCCTTTCAACATTTATTGTTAATTACGATCTTGTGTGTATTTATGATACCAGCTAATTCACCTTTCCTCTTAAGTGAATTTCGGGTTCACAATTGGAATTAAATTTAAAAAAAAAAAACACGGCCCTAGTCGATAATAAAAAAAGGCAGAATAGTTAAGTCGGGCGATTTTCTTAGTATTTTCTTACTCACCGACCATATCCTAAATTCAACAAAAAAAAAAAAAAAATTACTTTTCGGGTTTGGCTTGGAACGAGGTTTTTAATGGAAACCAAAAATCATGAAAATGTAATGAAATTCGATGCCGCAAATTTGTCCATTTTTATTTTGTTCTTTATTACATTTTTTTCGAGTTTCTCACAATTATTGTGAAAAGTGCTTGGAAAACGAAAAAAAAAAAATAACTTACCCACTCACCGACTAAATCCGAAACGCAACAAAAAAGGCCTCTTGTGGTTTCTTTCATTGAAGCAAGATTTCAGGTGAAAAAAAAAGTTGTGTACGGACAGACATAAAAAAAAAAAACACACACACACACATAGTATAGTAAAACCGATACATCGATTTCGTTTACATTTCTCGTTCAGAATCTAGAAAAAAAAAAAAAGAAAAATAATCAGTAAGTCACATACGAGTAGTATATATTATAAAAATTATATTTTCCGGCGGACCGTCAAAGAACGAGTCGGTCGACAAAAGCCGTTTTAGCGTATTTGTTGTGTGACATAGTGATCGGCGAGTGCCGTATAGCAAAACAACAACAGTGTTCGCGCGACGAGGGGAGGCGGTCAAAAAGCGATCGTCGACCGAACAGACGGAAATATACCGTGAAAAGTTTTCCCGCGGCGACTCTCGCCGCGAGTCGGACGTAAAAGAAATACGCGTCGCGGCGCCTCGCATAGGCATTATTACAATAATAGTCAGCCCCGTGTCCCTGTTAAACTGGCGTGACTCGCACAACGCAACGGCCGCAATGGCGATGACGGTTACGTACGCGGCCGCTGGATTAAACGTCACGGGCAGGGTTTTTCCGGTTCTGTATGTTCGAAGGAGAAGAAAAAAAAAAAAAACAAAAAACAAAAAACGTACGAATCTGAATTCATCGTTCCGCCCGGATCTGACGGGAATTCGCGATCACGTCCGCTGCGCACACGCCTGCGACCGGGCAAACGGCGCCCCTTGCCTTACCGGGGCGGCTTCAACGAAATGTCTATTTCGGACGGTAAACGTTAAACAAATGGATATTTTCGAAACGGTTAGCTCGTTGTTGTAATATTTCGAAAATCCAGCGTCGAACCCCATTTATACTTATGCCTTCGTGTCGCCGTTGTATACTCACGTAGAAACGAGTGCGTCGCCCCGCCGACACGGAAAAGTTTGAGACTTTCGAGTTCGAAATACGTGCGTCCAATATATTTATATATATATGTATAAAAAAAAAAAGAACTGATGCTTTTAATGAGTACGCCACTGTTGCAGGTGGAAAGTTGGGAAGGTAGACATAAAGGGAGGGTACACATAAATGTATTCGATTTATATCTGTAAACAATGATAAGGCATTGGAAACGAAAAACGATTCTGAACGAAGTCCGTTAATTTCGAAGTGCCCGTAATATTCTTCAACATTTGATGTAAAAAATTAACTACTACATTACAGACAATTTTTTTTTTTTTTATCATTGAGAACAACTGATAATGAACCACCTGTTACACTTTTCGGCATTTCTATTCGGTCAAACAAATCGATGAATCCGAAAACCGCCCACTTGTGGTAAAATAAAAGACAAAACCGCACACTTTTGGCGGGTTAAAACGGAGCATTTTTTTAAAATTTTATATCCAAAAATCGCAAAGTTTATAATTATGTATAATCTATTATTTAATAATAATTAATCCAAAAATAAATTAAATAAAATATCAAATATTATAATTGTACCTTAATTAGTGTTGTTAAATAACAATATAAAATCAAATAAAAAAAATGATCAACATTTTAAGCAAAATTCCCACTTTTTTTAAAGAATTTAAAATATTCAAAAAAAGAAATGATTACATAATTATTGGTAGAAATAGATAGCCGATGTTTTTTAGAAATTTTAAACGTTTTCCGTCCTTCGAAAATTCTTGCCAACACTTAAACAAGTGTTCCTGAAACTAAACACAATTTAATCAAAAATGATACATTACTAATATTTAAAGTATAAGTTTTCCATTAAAATTTCAAATCTCTACGAATATTTTTTTCTGAATTACAACGAAAACAAAATTTAAAATAATAAAAACGTGATTTTCGTAAATTATTCAGTTCTCTCAACGTTTTTTTTCCGATTTTGTTCAATTATTAACAAAACCGCACTGAAAATCAAAAAAAAAAAACGATTTATACTCATCAACTAGATTAAAAATACAACAAAAAAATTCGATTGGAACGAGTTGTCTTTTCGAAAAGTCATTTACAAATAGAAAAAAAAAAATCACACATCATAGTAAAATTAATAGATCCCACGCTCCTCTAAATAATCAACGAAATGTTCGTTAAAAACTTGTTATTTTTATTATATCGTGTACGAGACTTTCGCAAAACTTGACTAGCTAAAAGGTTAAAGGCTAAATTATTTGTAACTTTTTTTCGATAACTTTCATTAATATTAACCTATTTTAAGGTACAGTTAGGGGCTGTTTTTAATCACCGAACGTTTCAATTAATTTATACATTTCGCACGATGACTTTGACGGGTTTCTCACCAGGAATAAAACAAACACTTATTAAGTACAAACGAACAGCAAAAATTATAATTGTTATGTAATAAAATGTATATCGAAATCAAATTATATAAGATGTATGAAAATTACACATTTTATTTTTGAAATCACTGTACCGACTTACTGGAACAAAATTATGATAATATATCATTTCATTCTCAAAAAATATAAACGATATAAATTGTTTGTATCAATTAAAAAAGTAAATAACATATATATATATATATATTTATTTCTAAACATTATGTAGTCCATCAGTATCGTTATAACACGACGGCGTTAAAACTGTTGGAAATTAAATCGTTTTTAATTTTATTACCAATGTGTATTATACTCGTTACTCGTTTATGTATTGCGTTCAAATGTCCACAAACGGGTTAGTGAAAATTTTGTAAACCGATTTAATGTATTATCAAATTCGTTGTTAAAATTACAAGTTCTCTGAATTAAATAAAAATGAAATCCAGACGTGACCTTTTCAAACAACACGTAATAATAATTAGCCATACTACAGGGGTGGACTGATCCACTAGCCTACTGTCCTGTCCGTTCATTTATACGTACCAATGGGCTATATTAAAGGATTTCACATCTAAAATATTTAACGTCCTTAACTGTGATTTCTGAATATGATAACAGAAGAAGCACTATAAATTGATACTACCTGATAATATATTATAATATAATTGGTGTGATAAACGTTTACAATCGGCGTTATTAAATATCAGAACTTGGGTTAGTAATTTATATTAAAACCCATTTGCTGTTTAAATATATAAATTATATTTGTGAAATTTTGAAACACGTGGCTAGAACTCCAAGTGGACAATTATTATGTAACATATAATATTATATATACATTAATTATACATTTGATTTCACGGCATTAATAAGGGATTTATCTACCAAAGTGCCAGTCAGTTTAGCATTCACCTCATGATCCATACTATCTTAATTCGTGACTATCAATTATCTCTTATCATGTCACAACAATTTACTGGCCATCGTCGATGGCTTTAAATAATAACAAACAATTGTAATTGCTCCACCAAATTTCACTGATAGCGTGCCTTCTATAATAATTATAAGCTTTTACCGGCTCTACAATCCGGCTCTGTTCGTGCAACGTAAAAACTGATAGCGATAAGGTTCCAAAAACGCGTTTACATGTTCATTTGGTAAACTGTTTTAAACGCTAGAAACGGTTTTAACTTCTTAAACTACCCTGTACGAGTGTTGTGCTTTTTAAAACTGATGAGTGATGTTTTTAAAAACGTTTTAAATGTTTACATAACAAGAATAGGTTTTAGTTTCAAAGCGATTACATTTCGAACCGTTTTAACGCCGTTGTATAAACATTATAAACGTTTTACTATATATTTATTAGAAACAATTGTTTTTATCCACTCTATAGTCTTTATAGTAAATTATTGTAGACAATTAGCAAATACTGTAAATAATATTGTACAGTAGTTACTATATACATATTTTTTACAACTTGGTAACAATGATTTCAGAATAATATTCGACTACAATGTGTTATAGTAATTAGAAGTGTTTAAAATAGGAATGAATGAATGTACTTCTCCAAATTATAATGAAATTCAATGAATACATTTTTTCCAAACATTGGAAAATAGTACTTTTAGAAATGTAAGATTTTAATTTTTTTATAAACACATAATATTATTTTTATGTGTGGACGGTACATATGCATTTACAATATTTTTTATGCCATAATGAATAAGGTGATGAAAAATACAAAGGTCAGAGATACGTGTTGAAAAGTATCATCAAAAAATTTATGTTGATAACAATAATTGGACTGCCCAATTTGTACAATATAATATTAACGGCTGCGTATGTTACACATACCAATTTCATACTATTCTAGCATTCAATAGCACAATTTAGAATGCATTAAAAAAATAAATAAATAAAATAAGTAAAATAAAATAAATTATATTTAAGTAAGTTAGCATTTTATTTAACTTTGAGTGAAATTTATTTGCAAATAATTATGGTTTTATTGACTATGATATCGAGAATTCCAGATGGATTACCATTAGTTGCATCTTTGCAAGATGACAAACAGGTAAACTTTTAATTGCATGCTTTGAAAATGTATTATAGCTTATAAAAAAAAAAACACCACCGAGACAAATTTTTAAAGGTTACACATAACCAGTACAATCAGTACAAATTACAATATTTTGTTTTCATATAGATTGAAAGAAAATTAATCGAATATCGAAATCAAGCAAACTTTCTTTGTAAAAAACTAAATTCTAAATCTCCTAAACAATGTACAATTGATTCTCCACCTTATTATTTTCAGTAAGTTTATTGCAAAAATAATTTTTTGTTGAAATATTATTTATAAAAAAATCAATTTATTTTAGTTATTTAATTGAAAGAGATGTTTGTTACCTAGTATTATGCGAAAGGAACTTCTCAAAACTATCTGCATTCAGTTTTTTAGAACACATAGCCGATGTATTTAATAGGCTATATGGACGACAAGTATCAATTGCTTCACGGCCCTACACATTAATTGAATTTGGTAATATATTTTTAGATGGGTACCAACTGACTACCTACTGACTATTGAGAGCGCGTGAAAATTGGAAAAGAAATTTATTTGAATGGAACTACATTTGTTCGAAAAATAAAAAACTTTTTGAAATGCATATTAAATTAAATTGAAATTGTATAGAAGAGTAGAATAACATATATTTTTATTATGATTTAATTTTTTTAATTTGTATTGCTTTTAATATCTTAACTAAGACGATTAAGTCACTGATAAATATTATTATTACGTACTAAAATTGTATTTAATTTATTATTTATATTTACGAATTATAATTATATAGGTATTATATTTTTTTTATCTCCAAAAATGGACGTTTTGTCCTCGGACGTTTTGTCAGAACCCTCCAAAAACCAGAACCTTGATAACTGGTTAGACTGGGAACCATTAGTTTATACTCAATTTTTCCATTTTCACATTTCGTGATTTTACTTTCTGGACTTACAAAGTATCCGATGTATTAATTTTCTTTATTTTTCAATATATTTAGTAACAATAATTACAAAAACATGTATAAATCATAGCTTTTATTATTCCAGATAATTATATACAGAAAGCGAAAAAAAATTACATAGATTCTAGAGTACGGAAAAATCTTAATAAATTAAATAATGAACGTCAATATTTACAAAGCATAGTGGTTCATAATATTGATGATGTGTTACAAAGAAACGCTATTTTGTCAGGTAATATATTATTTATGTAAAATTGGAAATTTACTTCAATTAGCCAGTTTATATTTAAAGTTATTATATTTCTAAAGACACTGTTCAATTTATATGTTTTCCAACTGAAAATAAGTATTTTCTGAAAAAAAAAACCAAATCAAATAGTAAATGCCGACAAGAAGCGAACGTTTGGGAAATTTTTTTTAAAAATATTTTCAAAAAAATACTACAGCGCGGAGAGTCTGCATCTTTTAGAGTATTTTGTGAAAAAATCGTATCATTTTTACTAACTGAAAAACTGTTTAGTGTGAAAAATAAAGCATACTTCTTATAGCAAAACATTAAATACTCTAAACCGGGTGACAAAAAGTGTTTTTTTTTAAGAAATAAAATACTTATGAAAAATATTCGGAATACAGTATGTTGAATGCTTCTCATAAAAAAAATTTATAAATTATCATTATTATTTATTATCAATTTTATCAATAATACATTTAATTTAAATATATGAATAAAACATCAGGAGGTCAATGACTTGATGATTTTGACTGAGGGGTAGTTGCCCACCCACCAATTTACGCATATAGAAAATAATACATAAGTACTTTTTGGCCAAAACTGATCATAATAAAATCTATAGGTGTCTACAGTACTTAATATTGTAAAATATATAATAATTGTACATGTTTGCAGAGTATTAAACACTCAATTCAAACGTTTACTTTTATTAAATTGTTCGTGTATTGTGTTATACGATTGCCTATTAATTAGTCAATTTTTTTTTTTATTTTTTTCCAGAACTTGATTCAAAAACCCAAAACGTATCTACACCGTCGGTAAACTACACGAATAAATCGACAAGTCTTATTAAAAAGTCAATGTTTGTAAAACTCACAGGCGCAGCGATTTGTTTTACTACACTATTTTTATATTTTACGTTTTCCAATGTTATCCATTAATTAAACTTAAAATGTACGTGCGTTCAACGGCTAGGGGGAAATTTCGTCGAAAACTTTATGCACGCGCTTTATGCGTATCGATGTAACGTACGGTACACAATAAACGAAAAAGGTGATCTTTGGAACTCGCCCGCTCGTTTAACAAAACAGATAAAATGTTCTCATTGGAGTTTATGCGATTCCGTCGGCACATTACGCGCCGTCTACTATACACCGTCCGCCGTACGGGGACCGGTTAGTTTGCGGTCGCCGCGTTACGCTCGCTCGGCGCGGAACGGTTTTTTTTTTTTAGCGACGGGGCTCCGCCGCTGACCCGACGGCGGACCGCATGAAATAATAACGACGCTCGTAAAGAGAAAAAAAAAAACGAAAAGACGTTTCGGCCGAGTCTTCGGCGTGCCGTTAAGCAGAACGCGCGGTAAATATCCCGTGTCGCGTGTCGCATTGCGGTGTACCAGTAGCAACAGAATGGAATAACGCCGTTGTGTAAACACGCGCGCGGTGTCGAACGCGAATGCGAATCGGCCGATTGACGCGCGGACAGCAAGGGGGCTGTTTGAAAACGAACGCGGGATTTCCCGATAAACCGCGTCCCCACGCGCGCGCATTCGTAGGCGCGACACTGACGGGGTGCCTGGGGGGGGTGGAGGCAACTTTGATGCTGCCGAGTTTTCAAAGTTTCGCGATCTAATGTGTTCACAACGAACGCGTCCGCAGTGGACGGGTGGGGGGGGGATAGGGGAGGAGAGCCTTGTATTCGGGTTTCGCGAGAAAACTATCGGCCCGCCGGTTTTTCCGGCGCCGGGTACCCGTTGTCAATCGCGGTCGGTCGAACGCGATGCCGTCTCGTTCGACAAACAGCCGAGACCGCGGCGCGCGTCGACGCCCGTGCGTCGGTAACGTACAGCGTACGCGAGCGCGGTTTTCCGACGCGGTCGAACCGTTCGGGATCGAAATCGTTACCGCCGCCGCACGCCTGGACGACGCGCACAGCGTGGCGCGACAAGAGGATCGCGACGTCCGGCGCTAATCGAGCGTGTACGCGCGCGTAACGCGAATACCAAGCGATTGCGACAATATCAAGTAGGGCACCGTCAGCGTCGTGCGTACCGGCGAGTTACGAAAAACGATAGCGACAATGAACAACGACAGAATTGCCGACGGTGGCGGTATCGCAACGATTGCGACGCGGCTCCCGCGGTGTTCCAATAAACGCGCGCTGTATTACGGGCCAGTTCGCGTCGCGCGCGTTTCGCCGTTATGACGCCGCAGCCTCGTAAAGGACAAACGGCGATGGCGGCGCGGGCTACGCGCGCTCGTGCGTTTTTTGCCGGAACGCCGCGTGCCGCAGCATTCGTCGTTGCGGCGGCGGCGGCCGATCACGTGCGTCGCGTGTCGCGCGGCCGAAACACGGCCCCCGGCGGCGGTCCACCACCACCCCCGCCCCCCCCCCCCCCCCCCCCCGCCGCGACGCCGCCCACCTTTCGCGCCGCCGGTACACGTTGCCGGTGACATTTGAATACGCGCGCGCGCGCGCGGGGCGGCGGTCCATTGTCTTCTCTAAACTCTAATCAATCGCACAAAAGCCGTCCGTCCGTCCGTCCGCCCGCCCGCCCGCCACCGCCGCCGACGCCGCCGGGCTCGTACACTACGTGCGCGTCCGCCGCCGTGTCACCCGCAAACATACGCGTTTTACACGTACGAATGAATTATATTAAGACCGGTAATGCCCGGAAAATCCCCCGTTCGAAAAAAAAAAAAAAAAAAAAAAAAAAAAGCGATAGTGGGTATGTTAGCGGCCACTGTCGCAGGTGAGAAGTAGGGAAGGCAGGGTACATAAGGTCATTCCATTCGTGTCTGTAAGCAACGATAAACCACCGTTTGACAAAGACGATTCCGAGCGCGGTTCGGTAGTACATTATTTGCAGTGCCGTAATTTTCAGTTTTTGTGACGATACCGTAAGAAAGTAAGTCAAAAAGGCAACAAAAAAAAGGAGTTTTGTGATTTTTCGATTAAATCATTTTTTTCTGGTAGAAAACACGCCGTCCGTGTTTTTATAAATTAATGAAATCGTGAAATTGTACGTTTTCCTACGTTTTTTCCCACTTAAGTGCTTTTATTTAAAAAATTACGTCGAATAATCAAAAAACTGACCTTTTTAAAGTGCAATATAGAGGCCTCGAGATTTCAGAAAAGTTGTTACACGTAAAAATCGGAACAAGTTTACTGGAAAAAAAACGTGTCCACAGACTAGAAGAAAGAAAGGAAGAAAAAAAATAAATATCTTAGTAAAACCAATGGCTCCGTCGCTACGCTCGGAATCTAAAAAAACTGTTTCGCAAAGACACAGCAAAACAATTTTTAATGATGTCCATCATATGGAAAACAATAAAATGAACCGTACACATAATTCCCCGCGCACAAAGTATGCGTGCACTGAATGTGATATACGCCCTTTTAACTAATCAGTGTTGATTTAGTTATATTTTAAAAGGGTGCCTGGACATTTATTAGTCGACATTACCAACTTAATTGACTGTGCTTGAACACGCCCTTCTAAAAATTTATGCTCGTAATTTTTCTGATTTTGTTTGTACCGAAAACGTATTTTTCGATTTTCTGTAGTACACGCCCTTTTAACAAAACACCAGCGATATGTTTACAAAAAAGTTTTACAGGCAGAACCGCGGAACGTAGAAAAATCGTACGAAAATCTGGTGTATCGATTCGTATCGATCTTTATTAGCAGCGGCAACGAAAATCGCATTTGAACTATCGTAAACTTCAAAAAAAAACCTTGCGACATTAAAGATGACAGTGGTTAGAATTTGTAAATTTTGAATTTTTTAGTTTTTTAAAAAAAAAAAAAAAACCAATAGATAATCGGAAAACTAAAATTGTAGTCTGCCGGTTATGTCACACAGGGTAATTTTCGCCGATTCGTTTGTGATCAAATCCAACGAATTTCTCGGTAAACGAGATTCCTGTTTCTTCGATCATTTTTCTACGAGTTTTTGATACGTGCATCAAGAAAATCGAGTTTGACGTTTATTCAGTTATACGAGTTTAGAATTTTGACCGTAGAATCGATCCTACAAAGACCGTTGGAAGATAATGAAACGGATCATAATAACAGTCGTAATGGGTCATGTGAACGAAAGAAACGCCCAGAACAGATTTCGGAATTTTCTCTATAGTATATAGCATTTTCCGTCACAACGGCCAATGCCTACATTATTAAAAAAAATAATAATAAACAAATAGAGTTTCATTTTTCGTTTTTTCTTACGATTTCCGCCAAAGACTTCTGGTAAATGAGAATCGCCGATGAAAAACGATCGGTTTTCAGCTGATAATAATCACACGTTTTTAAATAAAATTCATAAAAAAAAAAAATTAACCTTATATATACGGTGATTATTATTACAAAAAAAAAAATCAAATCAAAGTATATACAAAAGGACCATAAGGTGTAATGACAACGTTCGATGTTTTTTTTTTTTTTTTTTTTTGTTCAGTTAGAAGGCGGAAATTAATGTTTACAGAAAAAAACAAAATCTTCTGTTGGTTCTGTCTACCGTGAAGTCCGTCGCGTAGTATTTATTGTGTTGAAACAAACTCATTTCACGCAGTAGGCGCGCGCTGCGTAGGCGTGATTATCGTTGTTGTCATCGTGACAATAATAATAATAACATTATCGTCAATTGAGGCAAAAAAACTACCCGTCGTCGTAGGGTTTTTCGTCGATTTCTTTTTTTCCGACGTCTATAGTAAAAGTCCGATGTTCTGAAAAAAAAAAAAAAAAAAAGTCTTCGTCCTTCCGGAACAAAAAATCGAAATAGGTTCAATTTACGAGACGCGAGCGTTGTTCCTGTAAAGCGTGCGTTTAAACAGAAAAACAAAACAACAAAAAACAAAAAAAAAACAAACAAACGCGCGCGGGTTACGTAATCGGGGGGAGGGGGTGGGAGGGAAGTGTTATATTACATTAACCGTACAATACCCCGTGTAACGGCGTCGGCGGCACTCATTTACGATTTTCTAGAAAACTATTGCGCTTATGAAATGGCGGTCGGACGGTAGAGAGACCGTTCGGCGCGGCGCGACCGGAACGCTCTTCCAAATGCCCGTGGCGAGAAAAAAAAAAAAAAAAAAACGAAAACAAGTCTGTTTCAAACGGGCGCTCTGAACGCACGTGCGCGAAAACCGGCGAGTGTCGAATGCGTGCCGAGCGATTAATAACTGGCCGGTTACAAACGCGTCCTCCGCGGCGGGGTAGGAGGTGTGTGGGGGGGGGGGTTGGACCGCCGCGAAAGTTTTTCCGCGATTTAACGACGACGAATAACGCGTGACGTGAAGACGACCGCGGTCGAATTATACAGCGGTACACCGGGGCGCTGCGGGGCGGGGGGGGGGAGAGGCGGCCAATTATTAAAGCGCCCGGTTATCGCACGAGCCGTGTAAACGACCCGCCCGGGCGGCACCCGAAGAGTTTTTCGCCGCGAGCGCCGCGCGCGATCGCATCGCGGCGCCGTAATTGGTCGCGAAATCAAACGCGACTATTCGCGAAAGCCGAAATGTCCGTCGGCGCGTTTCAGCGGTTCCGTGTTCCGCCGCCGCCGCCGGTGTGTGCGTTTCGCGTTTCGTTTAGACGCCGCGATCGCATTGTGAAAACGAGTCGGGCGTCCGATGATCGCGACGGGCCGTAATCCGAGACGGACTAACCGGCCGTAATCGCACCGTCAAGTCCTGAACTTAACCGAAAGATATTTTATTCGCACGGACACGATTCGTATGTGTACATACATTTTTAACGTGGTTTTTATGTCAAGCGATTCGTCACAGAAATAACTACAAGTTTTGATAACTGTTAAAAAAAAAAAAAAAAAACGGGTGCTGGGGGGGAGGGAGGGGCACAGATTTTAGACGAGACCTCCCGATGAAAAGGTGCTCCGATTACATAGCATGCGGTTTACATGAACGAATACTGTTAAGTGGCGTCAATCGCACGGTCCTACGTGTACCGTGTCTGCAAGTACGCTTTGACGTTTCGTCCACACCCAAGTAGTATTTTCTATCTCGTTTTTTCCCGATAAAAATGATTGTTAATTTTTCACGTTAAAATCATT